GTTTTTAATTAGCACAGGCGCTTGGGTGAGTGTGTTGTGTGTTGTTAGTGGGTTTTAATTAGCACAGGCGCTTGGGTGAGTGTGTTGTGTGTTGTTAGTGTGTTTCTATTTAGGACAGGCGCTTGGCTTAGTGTGTTGTGTGTTGTTAGTGTGTTTTAATTAGCACAGGCCCTTGGGTGAGTGTGTTGTGTGTTGGGTTAGTTTGTGGGGTGAGTGTGTTGTGTGTTGTGTGAGTGTGTTGGGTGAGTGTGCTGTATGTTGGTAGTGTGTTTTCAATTGGTTACATGTACCTATATTACGGTTACAGGCTGCTAGGCGCATCGCCTGTAGTGTGGTGTGTGTGAGCTGTGTGCACAACGAGCCTTCAGCTTCTGTGGATGCTGTTGTAGTGTGTTGTAGTGTGTTGTAATGTGTGATATTGTGTGTTGTATTGTGTTGTAGTGTGTTGTAGTGTGTTGTAGTAAATTCCATCTACTAATACCACATCCTATCCGTTGTGCCTGAAGCATTGTACGTGATACCTGAGACACTGACCTTCTCCCCACTGCCACGTCCCTGTTGATCACAGCGACGGTAAACTACAACTTGCGGCAAGCGGCATGAACACACCTTGCTTGGATCTATTACGTATAGAGGTAGGTATTTAAAGGTATTTCAAAGTCTTCTATATACATACCAACCCCTTTCGAAGTTTTTTTGGTCTGTCAACTCGCATGCACAAATCGGGTGCGACAGTCCAAGTGTATATATCCTTCATTTCCGAAAGTGATGCCTGCTGATCTTCTGTGGAGATGCCCGTTAACGTTAAGTTGTAGTCATAGGTTTAGTTCGATTAATCTTCAGTCGTAGTCTAGGGGTTTAGGATTTTACGGTTTGTCGATGGCAATGGTTACTGAATGGGATATTACACTATTGGGCATTCGGGGAGTTTCGTTTCGTTCCGGAGGCCACCCATTTTAACGCGACATGCCATATTTGGAGTTTTTTTTTATAAGTTTCATATGCAACCCACTATATAGACAAGACCACACCCGTCCTTCCCAACTATCTTATGGCCCAGATCCAGATTTACGGATGACGGTAATGTACACCCCAGCTACTACAAGCGGACTGTATAACCTCGAGATCATTTGTAGGTAGACGATAAGGAAGCACTCCAATCGCACGTACAACACAATATCTCCACGCAGTACAACCCATCTGCTCTGTACAGACACTCACACCACACTCTGAACCCTGTAACCCTATAACCGTATACCCATACCCCACTGCGACAGTCCAAGCTAGCCGATCTGTGTGTGGGGGCGGATCTACTTCTGATCGAGGGGATGGGCCGCACCATCCACACCAATCTCATGGCCAGCTTCAGCATCGACTGCCTCAAACTGGCGTGTATTAAGTCGGGCAAGGTATGACAGGCCACGTACTTACTTAAAGGATTGTATATCAATGTGTGTGTGTCAGACATAGCCCATACCATTTGAATACTCTGTATACGATCCTTCTCCAAACCGGCTTATATTAAGTCGGGAAATGTACTACGCGCCACGTACTTACCTAGAGGGTTGTATATCACTGTGTGTGTCTCAGACATAACCCGTACCATCTGAATACACCCTATACGATCGATCGTCTTTCCGCATGTGTTCTGTTGTCTCCGTCGTAGTATCGGTGTTCTTAGTAGTCATCTGCTGCCACTGCGTAAGTTGGTATTGAACTCAAAGCATTGACTGGCGGCTGGCGCACATCGTGACACGCCCCGCCGTTGTGTCTTCTGTCGGTGGTGTATCGTACCTCGACAAGTTCTTTCTGATGTTCCTCTGTATCTCTACTTTCATGTTTTGTATTCAACTGTATTTTAACGTTTATGTTCCACATTTGTCTGTATTTCAACGTTTTTGTTACACAATTGTCTGTATTCCAACGCTTATGTTGCACATTTGTCTGTATTGCAACGTTTATGTTACACATTTGTCTGTATTTCAACGTATATGTTACACATTTGTCTGTATTTCAACATTTTTGTTACATATTCCTCTGTATCTCTACTTATGTTACAGCTTCGTCTTTATCTCCTGTGGTTCTGCATCGGCGGCTTGTATCGGTAGTGCTACCCACGTGAAGGTTAAATTTTATCCTCACAGCATATCACCCCTTTCTAATCTATTGCCACGCTATTCAACCACAGATTGCAGAACTCTTGGGTGGTCGCATATACGACAGCATATGCAAATTCGAAATCGCTGAGGCGAAATAGATTCATCTCGGCGATTTACGGCGCAGCACCGTAAACGCCATCGCTCATCCACGTGCTCACATGCACATGTGTGTACTGTATTCGCCTATAGTCTCACAGACACGTGTGGAGAAAGTCAAGCCATAGCACTGCAAGTAATTACATCCCGAACACACGCACATACACTTTCGTGTGAACATATGCACTGTTTGCTGTAGTGACGTTTTTGAAAGGATGGTTTGGTGTGAATAGTTATAATGCACATGCCAGAGTCAGATTAGGACGTGTTAAAACGATTAAAGCTTTTCGTTAAAGCAGAGACATTGAAGGTCGTGAGCCAATGGTATAGCCGAATTGATTTGTCTAATTCCAAATTCGTCTCCTGCTGATAGTGATTAGTCTTTCAAAGTACGCAAAAGGCTACAAAAATAATATGTTAAAGGGGATGTGAAGTCATTTATGTACCTATAATCTTAAGTGAGATATCTATAAAAAGCACGTAAATAAATGCGCCTATGGTCCAACTGTGGAAACCAATTGCAACGTTCAAGGCACATCGGCCCTTTGTCAACTTTATTATTTTACTTTAACGTTGAATGGCTTTAATCGTTTAGATTCACCCTTTAATTTAAATAGTTGCAATTGGATGCAGTAGGGGTTTTAAAGCTAAATAAAGATCTACAGTCACTTCACCCAGGACTGTCCCCACTCCCCAGACAATAGAAATCCGTTGACAGACCATCACGTTACAAATTTAAATTTATTATCTCAATTTTCGGAGTTGAAGTTTTTTCCTGGTCTGTTCTTCCGTGAACCACTAGTTCGATGCCGCGTGTACGTGAATTTTTTCTCCCGTGAGCATGTACACTATCCATTATAGCTGTAGTTGCTGGAGAACACATAGATACTATACTACACCTTGTATCTTGGGCTACTTACGTAACTGATATGCGACATTTAAGTTATACTCTGATAACCAACCCAGACACAGACCAGACGAAGAGCAGGTATAAAGGCATGTGCACTGAGTTTGGATATATTTGGCGAGAAGTCTAACTGGCGCGCTATCGAGATTAGCAGGGCCGAGGCCCGCGTGTATTGTAATTTTATTCACACTCTATAGAGGTAAAAAAATAGTAGAAACATTGAAATTTTACGTATTTGTAGGAGTTCACACTTTATAGAGATTAAACAATAGTAGAAACGATTATGGTGCAGCATAATCTCATCAACTGTGAGCTCACGATACACATGCATGTCATAGACAACAACATTCAACAGTATATATATTGTAGCATTCAGTGCGACGAACATGCACAAATACTATGTGTGGATATCATAGCCGACAGAATTGAAGGTTATGTTCTGTAGCAAATATGATAAAACTATTTATTTTTCCAAAACGTTAAAAAAAATCAAAAAAGGCGAAAACATCAATGGTCAATCTCTCCAAAAAAAAAAGTGTCTGTGGCCTTCAGCCTTCTTTTGTTTAAAAGAAACGCCCACGGTATACCATAGGGATTTTCCAGGGTATTCTACAGATCGCTAAATATTCATACTCCATAGCCACCCGAATCTATATTTTTCCAGGGTCTGTATTCTATAAATAGATTCGGGTGGCTATGAATAGCGTGTTTACTGGCGTTCGTTTGTCCCGGATTGTCAAATGACTAGGTCATCCCCTGAGCCTCTCGTAGACCAGTAGTTCGATCACGCCAACAGCCGTATATTTGTTTCAGCGCCTTCCTTTGCGGATGTATTTACTTAGAACAGTATCAGTATCATCACTAACGTCCACGTGTTTTAGTTATGACCAGTCGTTCTGATGGACTGCTGCCAGTGAAGCGTTGCGATACACGTGGTGTGCGACAAGAGCTGGTATCAGGCTGTTTAGTAGGGACTAAGAGACTACTGACACGGGGAGGCAGGAAGTAAATACTGTCAGTTCATAGACAGCAAACACCCACACGAGAGATCGAATGGGTGATTGCGGCGAAGTTAACTATTTTCCTGGCCTTAAGATACTGATGCCTTACACGTTGCAATAGGCAATTCATAACTCAAAGTAACTCAAGCTATAACGCACAGCTCAACGATGAAGACCTGTGGTGCGGGATGTACGGGCACAGAGCCACTCGTCGAATCGTCGACTGGGCAGAGCTATTGCGCCAACTGTGGTGTTGTCATCGAATCGCAAACAATCAGAAACGAGATTCAATTCTCGGAGAATGCAAATGGGAGTGCGGGGGTGATCGGTACCTTAGTATCACACGATTTTTATTCCTCGAAGTCCGCGTTCGGTAATCAGTACGGATACAGAAACTCTAGAGAAGTTACGCTGGCAAACAGTCGGAGAGTTATACAGGGCATTGCAGCTGGATTGAATCTGAAAACTGATCACGTGGACATGGCTCAGAACTACTACCGCTTAGCGCTCAGTGTAAAATTTACCCAGGGCCGACCTACACGGAATGTCGCGGCATCGTGTTTATATCTGGTATGTATATATATATATATATATATATATATATATATATATAGAATAAGTTCATTTATTATCATGTGTACTATTTGCCCTCGCATGCACATAAGCATTGGTATCCATATTCAGCCATACACATACCTCTATAAATAACAGACACTTCCTTACGGAAAAGGCCGTGTATATATGGGTGCACATCCGAGTTAATGCCTATACTTACGAATGTAGGAATATAGGATGTTCCTATATTCATACGCATATGTGCTTGTTGAACTATAGGATATGAGAGGGCACAGAGATTCTCATTCCTGACGCACGCCGTAATTACCAGGGTTATTACTACCAGGTGTATCATTTAAGTATATCGCGAGGCGAACACGGAAGCGGACTTATATTAAGACACACATATATATATATATACAGACACGCATACATTATACAACTTTATACGTATATGTTTTCATACAGACACCCATATAGCATTCTTGCATGCTCATTATTTTGGCAGGTTGCGATCGATATAGCAAAGTATTGTAATCATACTTTTTGCCTAAAACGTGTATCTAGGAAGAATACCAGCTCGTTAGATTTTATACGTACACAACTAGGCACATACACCCTTGTATACGCTCATACAAACGTCCCAAGTACTAACACTCACTATCTACTGCCCTTTGTGAACGTTAGGTGTGTAGGAGAGAGGAGACCTCACACATTCTGCTGGACTTTGCTGACGTCCTGCGAGTGAATGTGTACATAGTGGGTGCAGTGTTCCTGAAGCTGTGCCAGGCACTGCACATCGAGAACTTGCCCATTGTAGGTATGTTCGTGGATAGACCTAGTGCTATATACACGCATGTGTACGTATTAGACCTAATGCTATATACACGCATGTATACGTATTAGTCATAATGCTATATACACGCATGTATACGTATTAGTCATAATGCTATATACACGCATGTATACGTATTAGTCATAATGATATATGTACGCATGTGCATGTATTAGATATATTTCTATATGCACGCATGTGTATGTATTAGATATATTGCTATATGTACGCATGTGTATGTATTAGATATAAATTGCTATATGTACGCATGTGTATGTATTAGATGCATTGCTATATGTGCGCATGAGTATGTATTAGATATATTGCTATATGTTCGCATGTGCCTGCATTAGATATATTGCTATATTTACGCATGTGCATGTATTAGACATATTGCTATATGTACGCATGTGTACGTATTATAACCTCTGACTCTTAAGTATAGGGTCACCCTCGGCAATAGTGTCTATCTTAAAATCTAAACTATAATTTTTCCGGAGATGTCTCTAATGTTATATGCACGAATGAGTACGTATTGGTCATAATGGTATATATGCTCGCATGTGTACGTATAGTCTACGGTATCTATATATTCGGATGCGTGAGTGTACATATCAGTCATAATGCTATACGTATAGGAGTGTGTACGTATAGTCAATGGTATCTATATATTCGGATGCATGAGTGTACATACAAGCGTCTGTCTACATGCACCACGCTCCTGCCCTGTTAAGATTAAGTAAACATCTGTCGTGCGCTTCATATCTCGTATGCCGTAACAAATAGGCGCACTTACAACAGTTGGTGTGGTATATCGTGTCTGTGTGTAATGCAACAGTTGGTGTGGTATATCGTGTCTGTGTGTAAAGCAACAGTTGGTGTGGTATATCGTGTCTGTGTGTAGTGCAACAGTTGGTGTGGTATATCGTGTTTGTGTGTAGTACAACAGTTGGTGTGGTATATCGTGTCTGTGTGTAGTACATCAGTTGGTGTGGTATATCGTGTCTGTGTGTAGTACATCAGTTGGTGTGGTATATCTTGTGTGTGTGTAGTATTCTCACGCACTCCTGCGTATCTGTATGCTGCCTATTTTGTGCTCAGCTGTGCATGACTGGTACCCTCTACTAAAGTACTAGCAGACTCTTCTGCGCCAGACCTGTAGCCCGACACACCATATAGTCTTAGCATTGATATGTCACAGATTATGTACTTGTATTTGTGGCTCTTTGACGACTTCTAACACACTATGCACAGCACACGCCGTTGTTCTATCACGGTTTTAAGATTTTAGGGTATGCTTACAACAGCAGATGGGACGCCCACTCGCCCTACCCCCACACGCACTCTCTCGCAGACCCTTGCCTGTACATTCACACACACACTCTCTCGCAAATCCTTATCTGTACATTCACACATACACACTCTCGCAGACCCTTGTCTGTACATTCACAGATATGCGCTCAAGATGGAGTTCGGTAGTAAGATTGATATTGTGGAAGAGACTGCTAATCGCATCATCCAACGTATGAAACGTGATTGGATCCATCTGGGCAGGAGACCTATAGGTCTGTGTGGCGCTGCGCTGCTTTTGGCGGCGAGGATGCACAATTTCAGGTATGTCAGTGATGTGTCTGATGCAGCAGGCGTATCTACAGTTCATTTATAGACCAATTAACTCAGCATTGTTTAGTGAAGTGGTGGTAAATTAAATGTATGTCAGGCATGTATCTGATGAAGCAGGCGTATCTGCGGGTCATTTGTACACCAATTAACTCAGTACTGTCCAGTGAAGTGTTTGTGTTTGTAAACGAGATGTCGGCCACTGTGAACTATTAACGAGTTTGATTTAGGAGATAGACGACCGTCATTGAAGTGTTGGTAAATTAAATGTATGTCGTATTTTTTTGTTGCCGTAGGCCCTCGTTGCTTTCAGAGATTTACACCTTATATAAATACGACACTTTTACACACACAGCCGCACAATGAAGGATGTAGTGGACAATGTCAACGTCTACAACCAAACCATCCAAAATAGGTTAGAGGAGTTTGCTAAGACAGAGAGTGGGGGCTTGTCCCTGGAAGAGTTCATGTTGGTAGACTTAGAGCGAGACGCAGACCCTCCCTCCTTCATCAAGGCCAGACAACAGGCCATCATTGCGCAGAAGGTGTGTATGTGTATATGTGCAGAAGCTGTGTATGTGTGTATGTGCACATGCACAGAAGCTGTGTATGTGCACATGCTCAGAGGGTGTGTATGTGTGCATGTGCACATGCTCAGAGGGTGTGTATGTGCACATGCGCAGAGGGGGTGTATGTGCACATGCGCAGAGGGGGTGTATGTGTGTATGTGTACATACGCAGAAGGAGTATATGTGTACATGTTCAGAAGGTGTGTATGTGTACATGCGTAGAGGGAGTATATGTGTACATGCGAAGAAGGTGTTTATGTGTACATGCGTAGAGGGAGTATGTGGGTACATGTGCAGAAGATGTGCATATGTCCATTCACTGAAGATTTTCATGTGTACATGTGCAGAAGGTGTATATGGGCACATGCGTAGAAGGTGTGTATGAGTACATGCGTAGAGGGAGTATATGTGTACATGCGCAGGAGGTGTGTATGTGTACATGCGCAGAGGGAGTATACGTGTACATGCGCAGAAGGTGTATGTGCACATGCGCAGAAGGTGTGTATGTGTACACGAGCAGAAGGTGTGTATGTGTACATGCGTAGAGGGAGCATATGTGTATATGCGCAGAAGGTGTGTATGTGTACATGCGCAGAAGGTGTGTATGTGTACATGCGCAGAAGGTGTGTATGTGTACATGCACAGAGGGAGTATATGTGTACATGCGCAGAAGGTGTATGTGCACATGCGCAGAAGGTGTGTATGTGTACATGCGCAGAAGGTGTGTATGTGTACATGCGTAGAGGGAGTATATGTGTACATATGCAGAAGGTGTGTATATGTCCATTTACTGAAGATTTTTATGTGTACATGTGCAGGAGGTGTGTATGTCCATTTATTGAAGATTTTATGTGTACATGTGCAGAAGGTGTGTATGTATACATGCGTAGAAACAGTGTACGTGTATGCAAGTGACCTGTACTCGGATACCTTCTCAAGACTGAGCGGATGTCCGTACAATTGCCACAGACCATCACAGACGCAGAAAGTATAGCCATGGAAATGGACAGTGTATTGGCCATCGAGTGGATCCGTGACAAGCCTAATCGAAACGGCACCATCGCACCCGTGAAGCGCGCATCGGCAGCGGCACTAAAACCTAAGCTGGATATATGTATGTGTGTATATGTGTGCATGTACGTGTGTGTGTGTGTGTATATACGTGTGTGTGTGTGTATGTGTGCGATGTGTGTATGTACGTGTGTGTGTGTGCGATGTGTGTATGTACGTGTGTGTGTGTTTGTATGTACGTGTGTGTGTGTATGTGTGTAATGTGTGTGTGTGTGTGTATACTCGTCTTCTACAGAGCCTGTGCTGGCCTTCTATATAACTTTGTATATGTGTACAACTCAGATGCCACAGCCCTTTGTTCATTTGTATTATTCTTATCAGTGCTAATTGCGTATATATTGATATTGCTGATTTAGTCTATGCAAATACAACATGGTCATATATATAAAATAATGTCTACTTAACTACTGTACGTAGTATTACAGATATATATGATCCCTTAGCTATTTTACGTAGTATTACAGGTATATATATGATCACTTAGCTACTTTACGTAGTATTACAGGTATATGTATGATCACTTAGCTACTTTACTTAGTATTACAGGTATATATAATGATAACTTAACTACTGTACATAGTATTACAGGTATATATATGATCCCTTAACTACTGTACGTAGTATTACAGGTATATATATATATTTATATGATCCCTTAGCTACTTTACGTAGTATTACAGAAATATATGATCACCTAGCTACTTTTTATATTGACGCACCGATCGGACCTGGCGCGGCCGAGTTTCCATCACCTGTCTGTGCTGGCGATAGCTCATATATAGCCACAGCCAAACACTCGCTTGGCATGATACCGGATTTCACTGACATGCTTGTCTGTAGCTATATGTTTCATGACACCGTGTTTTTGTGGGTGCGTTTAGCCGCCTACCTATTCCATTCTTTGAATCATACGCCAGTGATCCACGTGACTACGCTTTACCGTCTCTATCCATAACGATCACATGCTGGGTGTCTCTAACTTCCTTTGCGTTCTGCTATCAGCGGACGATCCAGACAACTTAGACGATGTCGACGATGGAGAGATTCACAACATGTTGTTAACCAACGGAGAGGTGCAAGTCAAGACACAGATGTGGACTCAGCTCAACCAGGAGTGGCTGTTGAAGGCTGAGGGTGTGTGTAGTATATCTGCCAGTGTTTGTGTCATGAGTGTGTATGTTGTACGTGTTTATGTGTCTGCAGATATATGGATGTATGTATGTGGTGTGTATGTTGTACGCGTTTATGTGTCTGCGGATGTATGGGTGTGTGTATGAATGCGTCGATATGCTGGATATGGGTGTGTGTATGAATGCGTCGATATGCTGGATATGGCCGTGGTCTAAGATTAGTTCTGGAGGGGCGAACAACTGAGCACGCACAGGGTGCCCCGTGTATTGTTTCGTGACGTCTTGGCGGATCCTCCCACACACACACGCATACACACCCTTTCGCACATGTTTATATAACACACACATACACAACACGTACATACATGTACGTTCAATTTACATATGTATACGCATGTACGGCTGTGTTAGATTTATATCAGGCGGAAGCCCACATGTTTATATAATAAACACGCACACACACAACACGTACATACATGTACGTTTAATTTACATATGTATACGCATGTACGGCTGTGTTAGATTCATATCAGGCGGAAGCCCACATGTATATATGTCAAACACGCACACACACACACAACACGTACATACATGTACGTTCAATTTTACATATGTATACGCATGTATACCTGTGTTAGATTCATATCAGGCGGAAGCCCACATGTTTCTATAACACATACACAACACGTACATACATGTACGTTCAATTTTACATATGTATACACATGTATAACTGTGTTAGATTCATATCAGGCGGAAGCCCACATGTTTATATACCACACACACACACACAACACGTACATACATATACGTTCAATTTACATATGTATACGCATGTACACCTGTGTTAGATTCATATCAGGCGGAAACCCACATGTTTATATTACACACACGCACACACACAACACGTACATGCATGT